TACAGGAGGAGATTGTACCTCCTTCTCCAGCAGAGCATCTGGTGGATTTGAACCGCCTACCTCTTTGATTACAGTGCAGTTTCTTGACACTAGGCCACGAGAGCTAACCAATAACCACAATAATTTTTGTGATAAAAATTACTAAAACACCATGGGCAAGTGGCTAGGGCAGGGTTCAGAGCTGCTGTTCACAGGGTCACAATGACTCATACTTAACTCGACGACACCCAACAACAACAACAACAATAACACTGGTAAGTTCTACATTGTCCTATGGGGTCACTACAGTCAGAATCCGCATGCAGTAATAAGTCACACACGCAAAAAGTCACATCCAATTTGCACTAGTTTACTTATTTCCTTCACTTAATGGTTTAAAAATCAGGTTCTATAACTTGCCAGGTGAGAGTTCTACCATGGAACCACCCATTCGTGTTTACTGAACTTGAAAGAGACTGGAGAACATTACGCTGAGTGAACTAACTCAGTCTCATAAGGACAGATACTGCGTAAGATTATTATAGTAAAAAAATAGAAGGAAAACTAGTAAACCATGTATGGGGACCCAGGGGGGAAGAGGTGGGAGCAGAGGGGCAAGGATGGGAAGGGGTGACACTGCAGGGTTGTATAAGTTGGTGGGTAGAAGGAGGGGGTAAAGGAAATGGGAAAGATCTGGTGGGGACCCGAAGAGACAGGGTAGTGGTGAACATAGTCCAGTGAGGTTAAGTTTATAAAACATAATGAATGGGAATGACTGTATGAAACACAATGTGAATGAAGAACAGTGTGAAACACCATATATACACACTTTGTAAGCAAATCAATATAAAATAAAAAAAAATTTTAAACCAGGTTATAAATGTTTCAATGACTCAAATGAATTGGTGTGGTCATTCTTTCTGGTAATAGATTGCCCTCCCTCATTTCTAAAGTAAGGGTACATATTTTTCAACTATGAAAACTAGCTGGAAATTCTTTGACCTCTTTAAAAATTTGTTGTTGAGTACTTGCTGCCACAGATTATACTGATCTAAAGGAAATAAAGTAAGTTAAGTATGTTAAGGTTTTAAAGTTGATATTTAGAAAAGTAATATTTTTATTATTATTATTATTATTAATGTCAATGGACATATACAGAGATTTTGGAATCCCATTCATTCATTGATGCACTTTTCTCCCCACCCACTCACCCTCACCCCCACCCCCAGTTCGCTCCTCTCCTTGAAAAGCAAAAGAAAAACTCCTTCATTGGTACACAATCCCCCCCGCACACTCCGCACATCCCCACTCCCACCCCAAGTATACTCCACTCTGCAACCCTCATTCTGGGCTCTTATGACAATCATAATGCCTTAAAATATATTAATTTTAAACTATTCTCTCCCTTTTTAAAAATATAAGTGGTAGAAATTATGACATAATTGATAATTTGTTTTATTGGGGAAAGGGGGACTCTTCTCTTTCACTGATTGACTCTTGTCATGGATTTCACTGATATAAAGAAAATAAAGTTAGAAAGTATATATTAAGGTCTCAAAGTAGGTATTTAGAAAACTAACAAGTCATGACAGGTGACAAAATGTGTGTCTGTTAGAAAACCCTAATGACTCAGCAAGGAAACTACTGGACATAGTTGACCAATTCAGCAAAGTGGCAGGATACAAGAACAACATACAAAAATCAATTGGATTTCTCTACAGTGACAAAGAGAAAACAGAACTGGAGCTTAGAAAAACAATACCCTTCACAATTGCCAATCACAAGATAAAATACCTGGGTGTAAATCTAACCAGAAGCACAAAGGATCTATTCAAGGAAAATTACAAAACATTACTACAAGAAACAAAAAGAGACCTGGAGAAGTGGAAGAATATCCCTTGCTCATGGATAGGAAGACTCAACATTGTGACAATGACAATACTACCAAAGGCAA